GCCCAGAGCAACATCACACCGTACGACTGCACATACAGCAGCTTACATCAGTATTATAATCTCTCTTCAGACCAGAGCAACATCACACCGTACGACTGCACATATAGCAGATTACATTAGTATTATAACTGATCTTCAGCCCAGAGCAACCTCACACCGTACGACTGCACATACAGCAACTTACATCATTATTATAACTGATCTTCAGCCTAGAGCAACCTCACACCGTCCGACTGCACAAACAGAAGCTTACATTAGTATTATAACTGATCTTCAGCCCAGAGCAACCTCACAGCGTACGACTGCACATACAGCAGCTTACATCATTATTAAACTCTCTTCAGCCCAGAGGAACATCTCAGCCTACGACTGCACATGTAGTTGCTTACATTAGTATTATAACTGATCTTCAGCCCAGAGCAACCTCACACCGTACGACTGCACAAACAGCAGCTTACATCAGTATTATAATCTTTCTTCAGCTCAGAGCATCATCACACCGTACGACTGCACATGTAGTTGCCTACATTAGTAATATAACTGATCTTCAGCCCAGAGCAACCCCACACCGTACGACTGCACATACAGCAGCTTACATTAGTATTATAATCGCTCTTCAGCCCAGAGCAACATCACACCGTACGACTGCACATACAGCAGCATACATCAGTATTATAATGTATCTTCAGCCTAGAGCAACATCACACCGTACGACTGCACATACAGCAGCTTACATCAGTATTATAACTGATCTTCAGCCCAGAGCAACCTCACACCGTACGACTGCACATACAGCAGCTTATATTAGTATTATAACTGATCTAAAGCCCAGAGCAACCTCACACCGTACGACTGCACATACAGCAGCTTACATTAGTATTATAACTGATCTTCAGACCAGAGCAACCTCACACCGTACGACTGCACATACAGTAGATTACATCAGTATTATAATCTCTCTTTAGCCCAGAGCAACGTCACACCGTACGACTGCACATACAGCAGCTTACATTAGTATTATAACTGATCTTCAGTCCAGAGCAACCTCACACCGTACGACTGCACATACAGCAGCTTACATCAGTATTATAACTGATCTTCAGCCCAGAGCAACATCACACCGTACGACTGCACATACAGCAGCTTACGTTAGTATTATAACTGATCTTCAGCCCAGATCAACCTCACACCGTACGACTGCACAAACAGCAGCTTACATTAGTATTATAACTGATCTTCAGCCCGGAGCAGCCTCACACCGTACGACTGCACATACAGCAGCTTACATCAGTATTATAATCTCTCTTCAGCCCAGAGGAACATCACAACGTACGACTGCAAATGTAGTTGCTTACATTAGTATTATAACTGATCTTCAGCCAAGAGCAACATCACACCGTACGACTGCACATACAGCAGCTTACAATATTATTATAATGGCTCTTCAGCCCAGAGTAACATCACACCGTACGAATGCACATACAGCAGCTTACATTAGTATTATAATGTATGTTCAGCCCAGAGCAACCTCACACCGTACGACTGCACATACAGCAGCTTAAATTAGTATTATAACTGATCTTCAGCCCAGAGCAACATCACACCGTACGACTGCACATACAGCAGCTTACATTAGTATTTTAATGGCTCTTCAGCCCAGAGCAGCATCACACCGTACGACTGCAGATACAGCAGCATACATTAGTATTATAATGTATCTTCAGCCAAGAGCAACATCACACCGTACGACTGCACATACAGCAGCTTACATTAGTATTATAACTGATCTTCAGCCCAGAGCAACATCACACCGTACGACTGCACATACAGCAGCTTACATTAGTACCATATTGGCTCTTCAGCCTAGAGCAACATCACAACGTACGACTGCACATACAGCGGCTTACATTAGTACCATATTGGCTCTTCAGCCCAGAGCAACCTCACACCGTACGACTGCACATACAGCAGCTTACTTTAGTATTATAATAGCTCTTCAGCCTAGAGCAACATCACACTGTACGACTGCACATACAGCAGCTTACATTAGTACCATATTGCCTCTTCAGCCTAGAGCAACATCACACTGTACGACTGCACATACAGATGCTTACATTAGTATTATAACTGATCTTCAGCCCAGAGCAACCTCACACCGTACGACTGCACATACAGCAGCTTACATTAGTACCATATTGGCTCTTCAGACCAGAGCAACCTCACATCGTACGACTGCACATACAGCAGCTTACATTAGTACCATATTGGCTCTTCAGCCCAGAGCAACCTCACACCATACGACTGCACATACAGCAGCTTTCGTTAGTATTATAATGGCTCTTCAGCCCAGAGCAACCTCACACCGTACGACTTGCACATACAGCAGCTTACATTAGTATTATAATGGCTCTTCAGCCTAGAGCAACATCACATCCTACGACTGCACATACAGGAACTTACATAAGTACCATATTGGCTCTTCAGCCTAGAGCAACATCACATCGTACGACTGCAAATACAGCAGCTTACATTAGTATTATAATGTATCTTCAGTCCAGAGCAACATCACACCGTACGACTGCACATACAGCAGCTCACATTAGTACCATATTGGATCTTCAGCCTAGAGCAACATCACATCGTACGACTGCACATACAGCAGCTTACATGAGTATTATAATCTCTCTTCAGCCCAGAGCAACATCACACCGTACGACTGCACATATAGCAGCTTCCATTAGTATTATAACTGATTTTCAGCCCAGAGGAACCTCACACCGTACGACTGCACATACAGCAGCTTACATCAGTATTATAACTGATCTTCAGCCCAGAGCAACATCACACCGTACGACTGCACATATAGCAGCTTACATTAGTATTATAACTGATCTTCTGCCCAGAGCAACCTCACACCGTACGACTGCACATACAGCAGCTTTCATTAGTATTACAACTGATCTTCAGCCCAGAGCAACCTCACACCGTACGACTGCACATACAGCAGCTAACATCAGTATTATAATCTTTTCAGCCCAGAGCAACATCTCAGCGTACGACTGCACATGTAGTTGCTTACATTAGTATTATAACTGATCTTCAGCCTAGAGCAACATCACACCGTACGACTGCACATACAGCAGCTTACAATATTATTATAATGGCTCTTCAGCCCAGAGTAACATCACACCGTACGAATGCACATACAGCAGCTTACATTAGTATTATAATGTATCTTCAGCCCAGAGCAACATCACACTGTACGACTGCACATACAGCAGCTTACATTAGTATTATAACTGATCTTCATCCCAGAGCAACATCACACCGTACTACTGCACATACAGCAGCTTACATTAGTACCATATTGGCTCTTCAGCCCAGAGCAACATCACAAGGTACGACTGCACATACAGAAGCTTACATTACTACCATATTGGCTCTTCAGTCCAGAGGAACCTCACACCGTACGACTACACATACAGCAGCTTACATTAGTATTATAATGGCTCTTCAGCCTAGAGCAACCTCACACCGTATGACTGCACATACAGCAGCTTACATTAGTACCACATTGGCTCTTCAGCCCAGAGCAACCTCACACCGTACGACTGCACATACAACAGCTTACATTAGTACCATATTAGCTATTCAGCCTAGAGCAACATCACACCGTACGACTCCACATACAGAAGCTTAGATTAGTATTTAAATGGCTCTTCAGCCCAGAGGAACCTCACACCGTACGACTGCACATACAGCAGCTTAAATTAGTATTATAACTGATCTTCAGCCCAGAGCAACCTCACACCGTACGACTGCACATACAGCAGCTTACATTAGCTTCAGTAGTGGCCCACTCATTCTCCAGATGTCTGTAAGTGTCTGTGGAAGCCGAGAAACGGTCTTATGTCTCTGTCGATACATGCTGGTTCTCATGGAGTCAAAGAAAGGGATATGTTGGAGAAGGGCGTCAGGAGCAGCTGTTGGGTTCTTTCTGAAGTTGCTGACTTCTTCTTGATAGATCTGGGGGATAGGCGTGTTGCTGTCAGTCATTGCACGATGATGGAGCTTTGACTTGAACGCATCAACTTCAGTCAGAAAAGGGACTGCTAGGGTGGTTGTGACCTTGACCGACCGCATTCAGCACGTTGTTTTGTGTCACCAGGTACGATGGGCAGTTGGCATCTGTACATCTCCAGTATGTTTTCTGAGCTCTGCGTCTGTTGACTCTGTACTTAAATCGCGAAACAGACGACACTGTGTAAACTGTTGAATTAAGTTAAAATGAGTTAAATTTTGTGTCATGATACTTGAAAGAAATACATTTATGAATTTGCGAAACAAAAACATGAGTTATAAGTACAGGAACATATTCTCGCCTATGGGTAACATCAGTAGCACATGGCAAAGAGCCTTTCTGGACTACACTACCACAAGCTTCTAAGTCATGCCACATTTGATTAGTACACCAATTTACAAATGTTATTGTCACTAGCCAACCAAAACATTAACCATGTACAAGCATATTTCAATCAATACATATTTTGTTCTTAAATATGTTGTTATTTACCACATGAGTATACAATATTGGTATAGTTGATTGGCTTCAATGATATGTGTATAGAGATTCGCCAAGATGCATATGCTTTAACTTTTTTTCACTCTAAGATTACCTTAATCAAAACAAATAGTCTACTAAAATATTAGTATTTACTTAAGATGTACTGTTGGGTAAATACATTCCAAAAAGTTCATTTTCCATGATATATTGAGGTTTTTTGCCATGCCTAAATGAGATACACAAGAATTTCATTCCTCCATGGCGGCTATATTGGATGTTTTAGGGTGGCCCCCATATCTAAAACTATTTGGAATATCATTATCTACAATTGTGCCACGTTTCATGCTTATATCACAAAGTGCACAATTGACGCCATATCTGTCACGAAACAGCTCCGCTAAAGTACCGTTTTCGCTTGTTGCCGTTTTGATAAGGTGCTGTCTGAAGCTCTTTCTTTCACAACTTGTTCGACATGGCGTCTGCAATCCAAGGTAAGCATTACATATTCAACCGAGTCTAGTTCACGTAACAGCTTTGACATCACGGTACACTTATGACAAATAGATATATATGTAAATTAGATTGCGGGCTCTTTTGCAATTATATATGGAATATCCGAATAATGTTGATTTGTCATGACCATGGACGCGTTGCCAGGACATCAATGTAAACAAAAAGGCTAAACATGATCATATGGACGTCTTCAGAAATAGTCATTCATCAAAGTATATAACCATACTTGATTTAGCAGGGTGCTAGAGACGAAACTATAATGTAGATTGTCTTTGTGTTTTATGATGCTGATTGACAGAAACTATTCAAATCATTGATATGGACAGACACCTTTGATGGTTAATATTAATTAAAGGGGCACTGATCTAACGCAATTCCCCGGGACTGGTTGTTGCCTTTGTTATTGTTTTTTCCCAGTGAGTACCCGGATGTATAGCAGAAATCTAGACTAGTTTGCGACCTCTGCTGCGCCATTCGTAAGCGCCTTAGTCGCTTTTATGGGTAGTAATAAGGGCGTATGGTCACATTGATGAACAAAATGAAATACAGTTTTCGAGATAATAAGGAAATGTAGGTATCTTTGTGGATAGCATCGGTAATGGTGACGAAGTTTTGATAAGTCACTTGCTTGGTAATTTTGCGATTTTCGTTTACACTATTTTGACTTGCAACACAAAGTACATATTTCACCTGAGCATTGCTTTTTTTATAGTGTGTATTTTTTTTACTGTCAAATGTGTAACAAATTTATTAAACGTCTAAATATTCAGTTATTTTACAAAGTGACTGAAAAACATTTCCATCTGTATTATTATGATAACGAATTCCAAACATTTTGATGTTTAATGTCATCACCAAGAGACTGAAAATGTTACGTTGAGAAAAGTACATTTCTATGTTGTTTGGCTTCTAATCCTACATAATAATCTGTTGTGATGTTTGTATGCAATTTGAATCGTCTCAATCAATCTGGACAGATTTTTTAGTCAAAATGACTGAAATATTTACACATTTTATAAATTGCCTGAGAGAATCACATTTTACAAATTGACGGTAATATATACACGCTTACAAAGGAAAAGACCTGTGAAAACAACGTCTATCGCGCATTGAAGAATTTCCCAACCAAGACGTAGAGAAACAAGAACGAATCGGTTCAAATGAAGGAAAACAAAATGCAAATATCATAATTACAACCTACCAAATTTATGTGTATAAATTTTAGGCAGCTTCCTTGTTCGAGGAATGTATTCGTGAATATCCACACAAAGGAACAATATCCCACCCGTCTGCAGATGTACAAAGAAACTTATTTGATGTCACGTGTCTCAGTAACAATCAAATATTTTAAAAGATATATGTCGTTTCGGGATATTATAACCCGTGTTCGTTTCTCAACTGATCACTTGGATTGTTTCAGGTGTTTTACATAGGTGTCAAGTCTCAATGGTCGGCTAAGAAAGCCCACGTGACAACTATTTTCATTAACGTTCACGGTTCCTAAAAAATCCATTGAGTGATAGATAACAATGATCAATCAATCAACGTATTATAAGTTAACCCTTTGAACAAAGTATGTTGTTTTACATCGGCACTTCAGGCCATGGTATGAATGTATTCCCTTTGTTTTAGTAAACCTAGACATGTAAACACTCACTCTTGACATATCCACTGTGCAAGATAACAGTGATTAATCAATCAACGTATTTTCTGTTAATCCTTTGATGACTAGGAACGTTCCGTTGATTTACAACAACAAAAATCAACTGATCATTCATCTCTTGCGGGGCTGCCACGTGCATATTACATAACACACATTTCACCTCACTTCAAACCTGGATTAAGATTGAATAATTACCCCAGACACAATAAATGCCAAATGGGAACATTTGTCAGGTAATCTAAGTGGTGCTACCACTAATTGTACCTGTAATAAATTCATTAACTGAGCATCAAGTGAATGACGACAAATACACAAGTGAAGGGTTATACGAGAAAACGTGGATGTCAACCAGGGAGTAGTAATCATATTATTGACGCAAGCCGAAATCCGAAAATGCTTTCACTGCATGGATACTTTGTTTTGGTATAAAACTATAACCATCTGGGGTATTTCCAAATGACGACATTCGATGAGCTCCGCTGTTCTTTTTGTCTGCTTGTTTAGGCTGAAGAAATTAATTAACATGCGCCCTTTGTCGTCACTGTATAGATCACAGTTAACCAATCAGTGTTTATGCAAAAATGCGTAAAACAAATATTGCCTCCAGCCTCCAAGTTTATTTAGCTGTCCTTGCAGACGGTAGCCCAGTCTCTGGTCACGCTCAGTTGCGTTGCGTATCATCCGGGTACTCACGGGGGAAAAACAATAACAAAGGCAACAACCAGTCCGGGGAATTGCGTTAGATCAGTGCCCCTTTAACCCTCATGGTGCCATCAGCTGCCATCAAAAGTGTTTCAGCTTTCTTATTTCTTCCCACAGTGCAACCAAATTGTATAATATGCAACTCGGGTTGATAGTCCAAAAGGATGGCAACAAATCCAAACGATCAATGCACCGCCCAAAGTACTTTCGGAAATGCTAGAAAAATGCTTTTTGCCTGTTAAAAAAGGATAGAATTTTTTGCAGACTGTTGCGTTTAAAATATTGAATAACTACCATTACAGTGGTTTGAAGTATTTCAGTCTCAAGGACTCCTATCGACAATTTTACAGGAGAAAAATTCAAACGAAAACGGTATAAGTTCGGATAAATTTAGTCCAATGATGGCAGTCTAAAACGGACTATAGAAATATGTATTCTTCCAAAAACATCTAATCAACACCAAAAAAATCACATTGAGAATTTCTAGATGCACATCTTCTAAAAAAACAAAATGATGATGCGCTTGTTTTGTCAACACTGCTCCCATGATGCATGTTAAATTACACTTGCATAGCCATAGCCATATTTGATACAGGGTGACAATAGGTGTATAGTGTTCAAGCTTTTTGAGCAGAAGCTACCCCAGAGGACCGAGCACTTTTCAAGGGAAAATATTCCATCCCTTCTATGATGTCACATTTTCTCTGCATCATTCATAACTATCACAGTCAGCTAGGGCTTCCAGAATACTTACCTTGATGAATCATTCCACTGACTACATGTGGCTATCAGCAGATGGACAAAAAGCACCCATGAGGTAAAGGTAATCATGTCATTGTTTTGCACGCAGCAACCCATGTTCTGGGGCGTATTGATTGATGTGTGCTAGTTTTCGAGGCGAAAAAGAAAACTGGTGATATGTTCATAGACTGGTTGGAACATCAGCTATTGCCCATTTTAAAAAACTCAGTGTCATAGTCATGGATAACTCCAGTTAATACAATGTCCGGGAACCAGATACAGCAGCGCGAACCATGAGTAGTCTGAAGGCGACCATACAGGAATTATATGACAGTGTCGACTTCAGACCATCTGAAACAGAAGTTCATTGAGAAAATTTGGCTGAGTAAGAAACTAGTAAAGTACAAGACATATGTGCTGGCGGCACAACATGGTCACGTTGTCTTACGTTCACCAGACATTGTGAGCTCAACCCTGTTGAGCCTATCTTTGCTAACTGTACAGGGTTCTTGGCAAGACACAACAAAACATTCAAACTCACACATGTCAAAAGGAGGATCAATGCAGTCTTTGCTAGCTATCAGCCTTGGTGAACCAGTTATCATACATTTGGGTGATAGTGTAAGCAAGGATTATATTCAACCTAAATATTATCCCGGGGGAAGTTTTACTCTAGAGTATAGTATCTCTAGGATTAAACACACTGACATGGGTTCAAATTCACTGGGGAGAATCATCCTGACACAAGAGAATTTCATCCCCGGGATAAAAAATATTGTAGGAAAATATTCACTCTTACAATAGTACTGATTCATAAACGTCATCAGCGGAAATAGATGCTACCTCAAGAAATCATCTATAGAAAAACAAATACTTCTTGATTCTAAAACCGCAACCTTCCAGTACACATCCTGTTTCATATCTTTTAACTATTCCATCATTTATCCAAGCAAATATAATCCAGTATATATCCTAAATTGCTACCCAATCAACGCACACGCAATTAAGTACAATAACAGCAAAATTTTGAGACCATCCCCAACTCGGGTGAAATTTGCACCTGTGAGAATGCACGGGATGGTGTGAGGTCATCACCTCGGGACAGGTGTCTGGTAATTACCTCAGGTTATAGGCCATTTCATACATGCATGGGGGGCACGGGTGGCCCAGTTGTCTAAGGCGCAGCGATTCGCTGTGCAGAGTTTATCATAATTTTACCCGTAAAAGTTCATTGTAAGGGTAATCACAATGTCATTTAGGATAGGCTAGATTAGGTCAATTTGCATTACTTTGCATTACTGCTATTTTCATAGCCCTATGACTCGTATGTATGAAATGAAGGCAAAAAAGCATTTTTGTAGCATTTCCGACAACACTTTAGCCATCCATAAAAGTGATGGCATTGTAAGTTTCCTATTTTTCTACATAATTGTAATATGGAAGCACCCGAAGCACCATATGTAAGCGCCCTTGTTTGAAATCTAAATGTCTCAATAGTTCATATCATTGGAAAGTATATATCCTAACGGTGATAGACATATGACATTTATGTCGAATTACACATTCATTGAGAAGTTTCCGTGATCTATATTTACCAGTAAAGAATCCCAATGAAATTGTCAGTGTTTTTGATGTCAAAACAAAATTGATGGATGTGGTCGTTATCAGTTCATACGTAGACTGTTTCAAAGATTACAATTAGATTACGATTAGAGAATCTCACCCGAGTGTCTTTTGATATCAAATATATCAACACGAGTTGATAAAAGTGGAAAAATTCCGAGGCTTGCCGAGGATTTTTGCCACTTTTATCAACGAGTTTTGATATATTTGATATCAAAAGACACTCGGGTGAGATTTTGTTTATCATCC